TGTTCATGTGTGAGGGTGCCCATGTGTACATGCCTATGGATGCTAGAGGTTTACTTCAGGTGTCATTCCTGAGCTCCACCTACAGAGCTCTGCTAGTAAGTGAGTGTCTCCATGCTGGACTTTGTATGTGGGTAACTTATGTTCTCATGTTTACAAGGCAAATGCTTTATTGGTTGTGGTATCTTGCCCAGGCCATCACATTGGCATTTTTATCTTGATAAAATAAAGTGTAGTATATTAGCTGCTTTCTTGGCCAGTATGGACTGAATACTTGACAGAAGTGACTTCAGGGAGGAAGGATTTATTTTGACTCATGGTTTAGAGAGTGCAGTACACTCTGACAGGGAAGGCATGAGGGAAGGACTCATGACAAAAACAGTTCCTGTTCTAAACAGTGGTAGTTTGTGCCAGCTTCGGCAGCACAGATAATGATTCAGGGACTAGGCTCAAATACAGATTAAATGTAATTTATTTCGGGGAGAAGTCACTTACACAAGAATCAGATGGCCGATGCAGATTCCTGCTCTAAAGATCTGCACAGGCTGGTCCCTGTGACCTGACGAGACCCAAGACAGAGCCACCTGCCTGGACCTCAGACCTAAACTCCCTCTCTGTCATGTCCACACCTGTGACCACACCCAAATGGGTATGGTCAGCTCTATAGGGGCGGGCTGGGTGGATATCTCACTACAAGCAGCTTGTTGACTTCTCCACCAATCAGAGAACAAAGACAGCTCAGGCCACAAGCAGCCAATGTATAACCCTCAAGGATCCACCCCAGGATCCCACTCCTGTCATCTCAGCCCTGGTGTCTAAAATATTGACTCTCCTCTAATTGCACCACAAGGTGAGGACTAAATGTCACAGACACATGAGCCTGTGGGGGACATCCCCCACATTAGAGCCATAGAGTGAAGGTTGGAGTATGCGTGTCCCTTACAGGCCCAGGTACTGAAGATTTATTCTGAAGCCTGGTACTACTGAAGGATGCTGAAGCCCTTCAGAAACAGGACCCAGTGGAAGTGTAGTCACTGGGGGAACATCCTTAAATAGGACAGCAAGGTCTCAGTTCCTTTCTCGTTTTCTTTTTCACTGGACCACAGAAGCAGATTTTCCCTGCCATACCCTCACACACGATATACTTAAATCAACAAGGAAAAGAGATTATTGGTTGACACCACAAAACTGTGAGCCAGAATAAATCCTTTTTCTTTCTCCATAACTCATTCATCTCACGCATAGAAAATGTTGGCATAATTCGACCTTTGCTTGCAGGAAGTTAGCATCGTAATGTGCTAATTGCTTATGATGAGTGGGAAGCTGTAAGGTGAACTGTATCTATTTTAAGTAAAGTAGGTGGTTTAAATGACTACATCTCAAATAAAACTTCACTTCAGTAGTTCTAAATCTTTCTCTGAATGTTTCCGCTGTGGTTGGTAAAAAAAGACTAATAAACATCTCTTACTAAGGCTAATTATGCTCTGAGAAGAAATGAGAGGCCATGCTGAAGGTCTGAGATATTACTACTTATTTAGAACTTTATACACATTATCTTCTTTTAATTGTACAGTTGAACCCTATCAGATTTTTATTCTCTCAGAGAAACCAAGGAACTGAAAACAGCTTATCTGCAGCTATACCATCTTCCCACTAAACTACCAGCAAAAGGCTGCATTAATAGTTTATATTCTATGTTCTTATATACATCATGCCAATATAGCCTCCATATTTATTATGATATTAAACCATCATGTAGGTCTAGCAGTTTTGATTACACAGTGCTAACTCTCTCCCTTTTGTTTTTAAAAATAACAAGCCCCCACCCCACATTCTAGTGGAAGATCACACATCTGAGAATATTGGGGCAGCACAAATTGATCTTGTTGAGTTTTGAGAACAAAACAAAAAGAACACAAAGTTGGGTGGATAGTGGTGGGGACTGGATCTGGGAAAAGTGGGCAAAGGGATGGTGAATATGATCAAGACTCTCAAAGGACTAATAAAAAATGTAACAGCAGTTTCCACTTGTTGTTTACCTAGCAAATTATCTCTGGAAAGCAGCTTAGAGTGAAAGTGAGAACAAGTAGTTAGTTGTCCGGAAATGTCTAGACTTTAGAATTCCATGAACTGTGCCGGTGAGATGACTCAGTGGGTAAAGGTGCTTGGCAACGAGCCTCGTGACTTCAGTTTGATTTTTCAGGGTCCACATGAAGGAAGGAGAGAACCTGACTTCGGATAAAGTGAGAGTGGAGGGGGTACAGCTTGAACCTTGAAGGGATTCTAGGATATACCCAGTAATTCTCTTTCTTCCTTCCTTCCTTCCTTCCCTCCCTCCCGCCCTCCCTCCCTCCCTCCCTCCCTTTGTTCCTCTCTCCCTCCCTCCTTCCTCCCTCTCTGTCTCTCTCCAGAGTTTCTCACTAGCTTGGAATTTTCTGAGCAGGCTAGCTGTTCAGTGAGCCCCTGAAATCTTGCCTTATCTGCTTCCCCAGTATTGCAATTACAATTGCACACCACAACACCCAGATTTTAACATAGGTTCTAGGATCTCACTTAGTTCTCCATGCTTTTAAGGCAAGTACTGACTATATCACCTCCTGGGCTCCCATGTAGGCAAAATACCGCATGACATAAAATGATATGATGTGAGTTATAGAAATGATTATGCACCAAATATTGTGTCAAAAACATTTATATCACCTGGATCAGAACTATTAAGCAAGTGGGGTTTGTTCAAATAAATGCAGTTTTACCACTTACCTAGAGAAAGGCCAAAGCTAAAAGTTGTAGTCTACTTAGAGAAGGAAAACACAAGTCGAAAGTTAGGAATGGGGCACAGAAGAGGTCTGTACATTGGACAATTAAATCACCTGTAATAGGCAAGCAAATGGGTTAACAGTAGCAAAAGAGAGGGAGAGAGTGGGATGGAGCCGAACCAAGAGAGCAGAGCTGGTGTATATCACTAGACACAAAGCACGCTTGGTTTTTTCCTACACAGTCATGTTGGTATTGCTCAAGACAACCCTGCTCTAGAGGGGATAGAAATTGACTTTGGCCTTGAAGTCAGTTATTCAAGACTCTAAAATAAAAATATGCTGGAAATTTTGTTCACGGTCAAATTTTTCCCACTGAAACACAGGTTTCCTTTACTATAAGTTATTATTGGATAGAGAGCCATTTGGTCATCTTCCTCATTATCTATGCTGAATTCACTTCTGTGAGTAAAGTTGACTCAATAGCATCTTGTTTTCAGTTTCTCACATTTTACTGAGAATACAAAGCAGGTGTTCTGACAACTATTACAGCTTTTCTGATGACTTTTAATTGGAAAGACCCCTACACAGAAGACTGAATCCTCAGTCTGCTATGTAACACACCCTTTTTTGCATTCTTACCTCAGCCTTGTTTGCTTTTCCCTCATTAAGGCATCCTTGTTACGGTCCACTCTTTGCCCTTAAAGTCATATGGGTGGAAACTCTTTCAATCCACTTGAGCATTTGGGGATTGTGGACATTCCCTGATGGTACCAAATGATAGCTGCATGGATAGTTTAGCAAGGCAGACTATATTTTACAAAGGCTCATATCTTTCATGGAAGTATGAATGAAGCCCAAGTCTTTATGTGAATAAATGTCTGTGTTCATGACCCAATAAAAACTTCCTAAAGTCTGTTATTTGAAATAAAACAACTTATGCAATTCTTATGACTTGTTTAAAGATGTGAAACTGTTCTTAATTCACAGGCTGTTCAGAAGCAGGCAGTGGGCTTGAGCTTCATGCTCCCCTGCTCTGAACCACCTAGCACCGAGCTGCTTTTCTCATGAGTGAATCACTGGAGCCTCCAAGCCAGCTATTTTCCTACATTCCAGAATATCTGTTTCTAGAACCTAATTCCCCAACTCTTGATTGTCTATAGAAAGTCCTATATGTTGTGATAATTTCAATTGTCCTGGTGTCCCCGAAGTCCTTCCTCTGAGCGTCCCAGGATGAGGGAAGGTGTCTCAGACAATTACCAGGCTAGTATCTATCTAAAACTAGTGTGTATTGTTTTCTCTTGGTAAAATGACATTGTTTAAACATGTCAGTATTTGAAGAGATTTCCTAATTAAACGAATTTAAACAACTGACATGTAATTGCTGAATAATATATTTGAATTTCATCCAAATGATTTTTCAAATACTTCTTCTATTTTTTTCCTTCTTGGGAATGTGTTCAAACAAGAAGATAACGTTGGCCAGTAAATTACAAGACAGACAAAAGTGTGATTTAGACCGTGATAAATATTCACTAGTGCCTAAGATCATGGGTACCACACATTCTTTTTATCCACTCAGCAAATATTTACATATGCCAGGTATTATCCTGAAATAAGAACATTGTTTATATCCATATTGAGAAACAGCAAGGAACAGAACATTTTAAAGAGCTACGGAGGCAAACAAGTCATTTACTCCACCACGTGTGATATTCCTGACATCTGTTGCTTATGCTTTGAATGTTCTAAATGGTGTGGGATCCAATCCTTGGGATTTGTAAAACAAGATGGTGATCTATACTGATGCTTTGTTATCAAGACTAAATGAATTATCATATATAGGAATTAGCATAATACTCAGAACACACCAAATCCTTCTGAGAGGAAAGGATAGGTTTGCTTTTTGTCCAAATTGTTTCTTGCTGATAAATTTATGTTTCCCCAGAAACATTGTAGCAATTTTCTACTACACCATTTCTTAATCATACTTAGCATTGAACTAAATTTATTTCTTAGTCATACTTTACACTGACTAAATAAACAGTATGTTCTCATGGCTATATTTCACACTGTGGGCAAAACAGAGGTATGTAAATGAAGGCCCTTCCTGTGACTTTTTTTTGGTCAAATATCTATTACAGCTATTACCCTGCAGCATGAAAAGACTCTTGTGAAAATGGTATCACTGATGCCGGATGACTGATTTTGTAATTGTTTTTTTGTGTGTCTATTTTTGTGTCTATTTAGATATGGCTGCTAATGGCATCTACTTCAGTTCTGGACTGTGGATTGAGTGAACCGTATCCTTTCCCATCATGATACACAACGTAAAGGCTCTCCACTTGTAGGTATTTTTTATTCAGCTTTATTTATTCAGTTTTATTTACTTATTATGTGTTGATATGTGTTTTTAAAATATAGTTTCATAATGAAAATTGTTCATAGAGCTGCTAATATGAAGTGTGATTGGGATTAGTCTCTCAGTTTCAATCCATTGTAAAATGATGGCATACCTTAAAATATACCTGCATTAAATATCAGTAAGGTGCTATGATAGCTGATCTTGGTTATCGACCTGACACATCAGGGGAGATAAAAGCTCACTTGAGGAACTGCCTCCATCACATTGGTCTGTAGGCATATCTGTGGGTATGTTCATGATCAATATGATGCCAGAAGGTCCATCCCACTGTGGGTGATATCATCCCTAGGCAGGCTTAGGCTGTATTAAAACACTAGCAATCCAGTAAACATCATTCCTCCAAGGTCTCTGCTTCAATTCCTGCCTCCAGGTTCCTGCCTTGACTTCTTGCCCTGGATTCCCTAGATTATAGACTATAACTTATGAGCCAGATAAAACCTTTCCTTTCTCAAGTTGATTTTAATCAGCCTTCGTCATAATAACAAAGACACAAACTAGGAAATTTAGCACTCTATTAACTGAATATAAAAAGCCATTGGAAAATTTCAGTGTCTTCTGGTTCTTTAACACTGCATAACTACAACTGGGTTAAATCTTCATTTTAGTTAACTATGTTGAAGCAGTTCAATTTTATTCCAAAAAGACATTCATGTGCTTCCACTTACCCACATCCTACTGATGACTGCTGGATTGTATCTACAGTCTTGTGAGAGGGAAATTGTACTCTGAGGACTATAATTGGAGTTTCGGCTTCATTTATCATCCAATTAGTCTGCTAGTCTCCAAGCTCTGGATTTCCTTGAAAAATGAGAGAATCATAAAATAATTTCTGCTTCACCTAAATTCCTAAGACTACTCTGATAGTCAAATGAAGCAATAAAAGTGGAATTTCAATATTGGTGTAAAATTCAAGTTCTGGGGGCTGGAGATGTAACTTAGTAGAGTGTTTACCTATCATAAACAAGGTCATGGCTATCATTCCCAAAACCAGGCATCATAGGACATGCCCATAATCCCAGAACTATGGAGGTAGAGGCAGAAGAATCTTGAATTCAAAGTCACCATAAGCTACACAGTGGGTTCAGGGCCATCTGAAGCTACATGAGATCCTGTCTCATAAAAACTAGTAAAGAAAGAAACAACAAAATGAGTTTTATCTGCTGCTAATTTACAAGTAGGGAGAGGGAAAGAATTTTTAACCACCATGGTTTAAAATATTGGTTAGGAATAGAGGAGGGCAAGAAAGAAGATGCCTTGACAGAGGGAGACAGAACAGGTTTGGAAAGAGGTCTAGCACAGGGAAAATGTTAGGGGTTTCACAGGGATGACCCCAATTAAGAAGTCTGGCAATGGTGGAGAGAATGCCATTGATGCCCTTCCCCTATATTGAGATTGACCCCTACCTTGGTTACCATTCCTAGAGCCTTCATCCAGTAGCTGTTTGAAGCAGAAACAGGCACCCACAGCTAAGCACTGAACTATACTACTGGAATCCAGTTGTGGAGAGGGAGAAGGAATGAGCAAAGGAGTCAAGACGGGGCTGGAAAAACTCTCAGAAACAGTGGACTTGACCTACTGATAGCATGGAGATCCTAGTCATAAAGCTGGGGGAACAGCATTGGACCAAACCACGCCCTCTGAATATGGGTGCCAGCTAGGAGGCCAAGATAGTCTATGGGACCTCTAACAGTGGAGCTGGTCTTTATCCCTAAAGCATAAATGGACTTTGGGAGCCCATTCCCTATGGAGGGATACTATTGCAGCCCAGATACACCAAGGAGGGTTTAGGCCCTCCCCCAAATGATTTGACAGACTTTGAAGTTCCCCCGTGGAGGGACTCACTATCCCTGGGGAAGAGCTGAGGATGGGTTGGGGGGTTGGTGGGGAACATGGGAGGGTGAGGGAATGGGGGAGTGGATATGTAAATATGAGTAGTAATTAAAGAATTAAAAAATAAGGAAAAAAATACTGGTTAATACAGCTCCTCATTTTGTATATTCCCCACCTAAAAAGATACATTATTAGGGGCACAATGAATTTACACCTCATATTTATTTCATGTATATGAGAAAATACATAAAAATAGGAGTTTTTCAATGTCAAGAAAATGCCAGAGAAAAACACTCAAAGGTGCAAAGATTTAGTTTTTCAAAATTTTTAAGATTATGATATAATTATATCATTTTTCTTCCCTTTCATCCTTCCAAACCCTCCATTGTACCCCCTTGCTCTTTTTCAAATCCATGGCCTCTTTTTCTTTAGTTGTTACATACATGTGTTGTGTATGTGTTCTAAATATATAAATACAACCTGCTCATTTGTATAATGTTACTTGCATGTGTATGCTTTCAGTGATGACTATTTGACTGAAAATCTCAGAGGTCTATTAGCTTCATTGCTATAGATCTGTGTGGGTTAGCCAAGCAAAGCTATTTATCTTGTGGTGAACTAGAAAGCATCTAGCCTCTCCAATCCTTAGCGTCCCTGTGTGTGTAACAAACTGTTAATAAAGCACTTTAACTTATCACACAGTGGATTGCAGAAGTTATTATGAATGGGCATATGCCTCACTGGTCCCCTTAAAGAGTGCTCATTACTTTCCCTAGGGAGTAACCTAGGGGCATGGGGGCAGCAGTCCTTAAGATCAGAAAGCTCCAACGTCATGTGTCCATTGACTATAGAACTTAGAATGGTCATTGAACCTTTCGACATCTCCATTTCTGAGAACTAAAATGGAGATAATTTCAGTCTACTCCATGTTGCTTTTGTTAAGATAACTGAAGTCAGCCTCTGAGGAGGACACATAGCATAACTTTCACTGGCAATTTTAAAGATATAACCAAAAACTATAACATAATATGATTTTTCAACTTCAAATCAGATCTCTTGACTTTGAAAGTGTTCTTGCTATATACTAAATTTGGATTTTGAGAAAGCTGTAACTGATTACATGAGCTCTTTTCTTAGGTATGTAAATCTTAAATTGTATTATTTTTATAAGTGTGGGGGTTCATGTACCATAGTACCCCTGTAGTGAAGTCAATTTTCTCCTTCTACCATGTGGGTCCCCCAGATCAAGTCTTTAGTCTTGGTGGGATGCACTTTTATCTGCTGAGCCATCTTGCCAGTCTTAAGTATTGAGGTTTTGTTGTTTTTTTTTTTTTAAGAAAAGATAGCAAGTATCCAAATCAAATTACAAATTGCAAGAATACCTTGAATATGTCATCCTATATAGAAAATAAAACTGAGACAGGTATGGTGGTGCATGCCTGGAATTACAGCATTAGGGAGACTGAGGCAGGGGGACTTCCAGGCCAGCCTAGATTGCATAGGGAGTATCAGGCTAGCCAGGACCATATACTAAAACTGTCCCTTAGAAGACTGACAGATAGATCTTTTATGATCACTCAGTGGGTAAAAGCACTTGTGGCCAAACCTGAAGAATTGAGTTCATCCCCCAAAACATACCCAGTGAAAGTAGAAAACTATTCCCACAAGTTGTTCTCTGACCTCCATACACACGTTGAGGAATATGTACCTGTACACATCACAGACACACACACAGACACACATACACATACACACACACACACACACACACACACACACACACACACACAAGTGATTTACAGACAGACAGATAAATGATAGATGTATAACAAATAAAAACTCCATTGGTTTTTGAAAGGCGTTCAGAGGTTGTAAGCAAGAGATACATGTTTTATCTGTTATTAAGTTTGGGATGTTATCACATTTCAAACTGTTTGTTTGTTTGCTTGTTTATTTGTTTGTTTTTCAGGAAAAGAAACAGGGAAGAAAGGAGGTAGATTGTAGACCACATCACAAAACTAAAAAGAGGGCTTTAACTTTCACTTTCTAATCACACACGTTGGATACTAAACATGTCTTGTTATCAACAAACAACCAATATTGTCCTTTGGGCTTGCATTGGACAAGATTCAGTAGTTCATAATGGGTGACATTTTCCAAATGAGTCATGATTTGTTCCCAAGGTGGGAAGTGCTGATAACGAGGGTGGTAACAGAGCCAAGCTCGTGAACCCACGCTTTGTGTCCATGTCTGTAGTTCAGCGGCTGCCAACCTGAAGGCTCTCACTTACACCAGAAAGCCAAGGCCTGTCCCCTGCACTGTTAATTATAAACCACCTGAAACAGCCACACAGTGTTTGGTTTAGCCACCTCTGGATACACCCACATTAGCAGCCAGAGAGTTTCACATGTAAATTCCATCTGACTTTTAATTCAGGTCATGATGTTATCTGTGGCTTCTATGTGTGATGTGTGCTCTGTCCTTCTTGTTTGTTTTTTTTTTTTTTTTCCAGTAGGGTTTCCCATGAAGAGAGCAATGGTGGTTGTGGAGGCAGCTGCTAAGAATAATAGCTCTGGGGACATAGTTCAAGTACCATGAGCATAGCGTATGGCTACTGCTTCACTCTCCCTGAGTATAGGACTTTGTAAAGAGATGTAATTAGTCTTCTTTCCCTACTTCCTGTACCTTTCCACACTTATAGACTCTTAGTGTTCACAGAATTCACATTTTACTGTCTCATTAGATATTAGGCTGTAATGAAAAGAGTAAGTAGGGTCATTAGTTTGGAATAGCAGCCTTACTAAATAGAGTCTCATAGATTCCTGCTTATTTTTTTCTGTGTTATTAGCAATTCTACCAGTGATGTTTTCCCTAAAATTTCTTTGTCACTTTAGAAGTTTGTCTCTTTTGGAAGCTGAATAAATTGGGTTTCAATCTAATACTTGTTTTAAAAAATGCATCTCTAAACACACACACACATACACACACACACACACACACACACACACACACACACACACACACACACACCAATGAAATGTGTCATTCAGTGTAGAGATGGACAGAGTTTAGTGAAGACATGGAGTGTTCAG